ACGTCAAATGTTGACTCTCCTTTAACAATTAACAGAGGGGTTCTGAGGGCGCATCTTTAATTGATGCATGCACATGTAGGTGCAGCAGATTTGGCTGTGTGTATGAAGCAACAGCCTGCCCAGAATTCATACCTCAGCATTTTCAGTTTGAAATGCTTTTGCTTGTTTTAGTACAGCCAAACATGCTCAATTTAAAACTGAAACCTTGACAATTCTATGGTTTCTGTTCAATTTAAATATATTGCAAAACTTGTTCATTTTCAAAGTCTAAAGTTGATTCAACATAACCACATATTTTGTTTTGCAGGGATCCCAAGTTCTCAGAAATAGCAGATATTGTCTTCATCAGCCACCAGCAAGGTTTTGAAGATGCAGCCATGGCACTGGCGACGCCCTTGAGCCAAGCTAACCCTGCCACCATGGCCAGTAATAATAACCACCTTCCTGGGATGCGTACCAATGGCATCGTCATGCCTGAGATGGATTCTCTGGTGGCCCCTCAGAAAGCCAGGCCTGTGCCCAATCATCTGTTGGACACACGTATGTTTATTTGTGGACTGGTTCTTTTCTTGTCAGCTTTTCCCTCAGTTCTTCATTTTTTTTGGATGAAATGTAGATGTATGTTAAAACCCCTTGTTCTTGAATATTCAGTGAAGCAATTACACAGCTTTACTCATGATTTTCTGAATCTTCTAGGGGTCATCCATTTTTTAAGCATTTTCACATGTACACAGCATTCTGTCTTGACATCCTCTTTTAGAGAGTGCAAACTAAAAAGGAAAAATCAATTATCAGGTATTATCACTCACACACTTGTGTATTTGCCTGCAACTGGGGACCCCCTATTGTTCTCTTTTGTTTGTACTTTAACTTTTTCAGAAGACCACCCGTATGTTTTGTACACAGTTATCAATCAGGGACCCTCTGTCATTTGGGAACCTTATTGTCCTCTTTTGTTCAGGGTCCTCAATTGAATGCAGAAACGAACTCCAATATACAAGTACTTTCTAACCGCATACATGTATGCGGCCCCTTAACAATCCCTGCCATTTACCATTTGTATGCTGGCTAAAAATGTACCTCTTTATATGTTAAATCTAATTGCCTAGGGTGAGTTTACTTCAGAGCTAAAGACACTTACATGTACCTGTACACATCGAAAAAAAAGGCCAAAATTGAATTTCAACGTGCTTATACATGTATGTACTTTCTCAGAGATGTTCCACAAAGTGTCCCACAACTCTGTTGTTCAGGCAGAGCCTGCATCAGTTCACTTCACCGGATTTGAGCCAGGCAAAGTGCACAAACAGATCCTGGTGAGTACATATGTCTATACTTGCCTCAGCACAAGATTATTTGAAGAGTTTGCAGGATTGAAGAAGCCAGAGCCCAGTCATCCTTGCTTTGCACGGGTTTGATGCTCCTCAAGAAAACAAAGAACGCGCCATTGTTTTCCTACATACATGTATGTCAAAGCCTACTTGCTGATATTTTTAGTCCAAACCTGACTTTTGAAATGGTTGAACACATCAGCCGACTTTTCAGATACAGGCAATGTGACTGTAGAGAAGATAGAAAGCCATAATGAACATGCCTAAAAGAATTGAACAGTGTCCCAAATGAATGATTTAGGTCAACAAATCACATGCTCTTTAATGGCAACATGAAAAAAAAATACTGCTAGACTCTTCCATGACCGCAACAATCTACATAACAAAATAAAGACATGAACTTTAAAGTAGTGTTGTATGATGCCACTTTATTTGGTATCCTTTAAGATTAAAGATGTAGATAGTACTCAAGTCATCGACCAATGGCAGCAGGTAACAGAAAAAGTGTTCTAATAGGTCTATTCAAAAATATTGAATTTAGTGACATCCAACTAGAAAATAGTGTTACAAGAGTATGAAAAATTCCCTTTTGGTGTGAAATCTATTCTTTTGTAGCAGTTGGCTGCCAAAGTTTGTAAAAGGGGTTTGGCCAGGATGGGTAAAAGGTACAAGATACTGAACTTGTCAAAAAGAACCATTTTCCGATGTCCATCATCTGACATTTTCAGTGGCCACTTCAGGCAAAAAACCGATGGCCAATGTCAGTGTGCTACTAGAGCTGTAAAAGAATAGCAGAAAACATTGTCTTGAGTAGGAAATAATCTGTTGCCTTAAATACATGGTTGCATTTGAAACTATGGTACAGTATGTCTCAGTATGGATTTATTGCTGCAAAGTGTCCTGAATGAACTCTGACTTAAGCAGCAAGTCTCTGTCTCATGCATGTGTTAGTGCACCACTCAAGCTGCATTTACGTTGTATGGTGATGAATACATGTAAGTTGGTTCCCTTTCTGGTACAAATTGGCTCGTGCACAAGTTGGTTGGCCTATGAGCAGGTACATACACGTGCACAAGTTGACCACATTGTGTATGAGTTGGCTTGTGTACATGTACATGTTGTCCTGTCATTTGTCTTATATGGATCCATCTGGCTTGGATGCATCATCAGTTCTTATCTGCCAAATGCCACCATAAGAAAAGTTAGATAGACCCTTAATCCTCCAAAATCCTCAGTCATTCTTGAATTTGTTCCTTGTAGGTGTGACCTCTTAAAAATTCTTCGATAATTCTTGTCATTATGCTGAAGTAGTGTAAATGATATCCTAGAGTAGTGTGGATGATTTCACTTATAATCTAGACATGAATTAATTACTGTATATGAAAGGTTCCCCCTCTGAAATTGGCTGCAGGACTGTTTGAAGAGTTAGAACTTTGGCTATTTGTATTACATGTTCATGTATGTGTGTGCTGAAGGGTTGAAAAAGTATGGTTCTTGACACCAAATTTAAGCTTCAACTAATAGCAGTGTTGAAATACATGTACATGTACATGCACCCAGACGGCCATTCAATCTTTAAAATATCTTGTGCTGCAACCACAGCGCTTGATCAACATCTCATCCGAGTGCCAGAACATGCACATCGTCCCCCCGGCCACTCACTTCTTCAAGGCCTGGTACACTAAGCGGGATCGGCTAGTACCCGGCATGGCAGTGGAGGTTGAGGTGGAGTTTAGACCTGATGAATGGCGGTACTACTACGACTGCATCAGGATCCACTGCCAGGTGGGTAATGGTAATGGTCCAGGCTTAACTTCACTTTAAGACGGAATATTGGCTGCCTTTTATTTATGATGTTGCAACATGAAGTTGACACCATGGATTAGAAAAATGACCTTTCCAAAGAGTGAACACAGTGCATTTTTGTATAGCTTGATTCAGGAAACCCTGTTTGAAAGAATATGATGTCAGCACATGGCCTGGTTTCTTGCTGTGTTATTTCTGTTTGGCTGAACACAATTTGACAAAAGGAAGATTCAAGTCAGTACAAAAGCAGTGTGGGATGGTAAGCAAATGATGCAGTTGTATTCCTGTTTTCATTTGATGACCTATTTCATTTCTTGCAGGATGAGGAGAACTTGTTGGTTCCCGTCCATGCCTACCCTGCAATGAGTACAGCTGAGTTCCCTGAAGTCATCAAATTCCCCCCAGTCCCAATCTCAGAGAGGTAAACATGAAATGCAGTCAAGTGCCATTAGTTTAGGCCTGGCGAAAAAGGAGTGTTATATCTGAACTTGATATTTATTTTATCAGTGTGCCAGTTTCCACATTCATTGTTCTCGCACACGTATGTGTTCCCAGGTAACCACATTGAGGGGGCTATTTTGTTTTGTAAGGAAATGTGGGACCTATTCATGGGGACCAAAACTATTCCCACAACAGATTTACCCCCATATTGACTGTTCAAAATAAATATTGTCCCCATAACTACAGTATCAACCAACACTGCACCATAGTTATCAGGATTACACACCCATTGAATGATAGATACTTTAGGGACAACAGGAAGACTTTATTGCCAAAACCCAACATATCCATTGTGCAAATTGAAACTCCAAGAGTTTACAAAATAGTAAGAAATAAAATCAACATACTGAGTGTAAATAAATATAATGTTTAACTGCATTGGTTTCTTCAGTTGTGTTCAACTGTTTTCTACATTTGTGTGTAAAATAATAAATAAAATTTACTTAATAAGTGTAATAAAATTTGTGTGACAAATTTTAAGGGAAAAAAATACATCGATAAAGTATGAAATACATGTAAAAGTGAGGTCTTTGGAACGGTGGGTGGGAAGCTAACAATGATGTACCATAGATGGATCCTTTTAAAACTTCAACTTTGTTGGCTTGTTCTGTTGCCCAGTGTTTTCTGTAAGGGCCATTACCCCTAACCATGCTGAATCCAACAAGGTTATGCAGGATTTCAATGGTCCCCAGGGGGTTAGGTTGCACTGTGTGAGTTGCATGCTCTTGTTGCCCGTAGTTTATTGGATTTGCTCTGCTTTCTGACCAGATTATGATAGAAACAGTAGCCTTTTATTAACAGCTCAATGGTAAAGTAAATCCAATTTCCTATTAAAAATGGTAAGTATTTAATCTGTGCTCCGTAAAGTGTAGTTCTGAATTACAATATTCCAAGATACTGCATTAATTTTGTCTTTTGGCACACTCTTTATTAACAAATTTGTCTTCACTAGAAAACTCGGAACTTTCTTCCTATTGAAAAGATAACACATTTCAACGAGTAAAGCCATCTTTAATTTTCTTGTAGTCGTTCAAGATTGATACCTCTGCGATGCGATGCTCCTGTTGACTTTGAGTTCCAGTTGACTTTCCTCCAGCCACACCCTGCCTTCACCGTTGAGCCCATGAGCGGCATTGTCCCAGCTAACGGAGAGGTCAACATCTCGGTAACCTTTGCCCCCACTGAGTTCAGCACAGCACTGATGAAGCTGCAACTGGTGACATCACAGTTCAATTCAAAGCCCCTGGTGTGCTTGGTATCTGGCTCATCTGCTCCTGGACTTGCCGAGTGAGTCAAGAATTTACCTAGATTCTCTAAGAAGTCAGTTCTTTTAGTGCTCTTAAACTTGTAAGGCTGTGCATCAGGCAGGGTACCCAGCTGACTGGGCTCAGAATCTGATTTAGATTATGGAACTGAGCTCATAGTCAACTTGCATATTATGTTGCAGTTCTGACAACAAAATACAAAAGGTTTTTAATTGCCACTTGTGGAAGATTTTTCCAGTGGAAACCAGACAGAAAATTCAAACGTCCACTTGTGTTAATGTGCAACTTGTGTTACTTTCCAAAATTCTGTTGTAAAACCAAGTGTAAATGTACATTTAGCCCCTTAACACACTTGTATCTTGCTGCACACATATTCAAGTTTAAGTAGTGCTTTGCTTTAATTGGATCCCCAATTTTTGGCCGTAGATGAAAGTAATCACTGACAAAGTGTAAGGTGTAGAAAGATTTTATAGGATGATACAGAGCCATAGAAAAACCTCCAAAGGGCAGCTTTTCCAAAGTATTGAGATCATTTGCAATGCAACTTGTGCTCGCTTGCAGAGCTGAGCTAACTGCCCGCTGCAACGGTCACACCTCCCGCCCCAGCGACTCCCTCTTAGACCCCCACTCCATCTCTCCCGTGGCCATGGCCCGTCGCAAGAAGCGCACCAAGAGCCGGAACCGCACCAGCTCACGGGATGCTTTGGCCACCTCTAAGGAGATCGAGCGGGAGGGTGTACGCTTCCCCAGCAACCTGGACACACAACACTCGGTCAACACAGTCCTGATGCAGCAAGCTGGCAAGCTACGAGCCAAGGAGCTCAGGGAAGGTAAGATAGGACCAGGCTGCGTAAACTTTGTTATTCTTGGTTGTAAGCTTGACACAATGGGAACGAGATGATTAGTGTACAAATAATGAATCTTTATGATTGTAGAAGTAACAGTAATTTCATGAGAGATCGGATGTTCTATTTCACTAGGTGAAGCCAAGTGCAATATACGGTAATATTCCATTTTCCGTCAAATGCAATGATTCTTTCCATTTCACAAATGTGAAATATTCATTATTTGTTCTGTGCAACACCTAAGTAAGTCCTCTCTGTGTATAAGTAGCCCATTTTTCTTTTTCAGCTTGTCATAAAACTATGACACCAAGTTTTATTATTATTATTATCATACTTAATTCTGGTAATGACACCAAGGATTCCTCATAAAGGCACTGTAAGCTCTCAAGCCTAAAGAAACCTGTGGAGATGGTACAATAGAGGGATCCAAATGCAATACTTTTAGCATCGATCTGCGCATTTCCACGTTTGAAAATGAGGCTATATGTGTTACCGTTAGCTTCAATTCTTTTACAATCAGACGATGGGAAGTAAGGAGTCAAGACCCAATATACATAAAGGAATGTTAAAGGAAGAGTCTTTCAAGATGACTCAACACGTAAAATCAAAAGAAAAAAATAATGGCAATTTACCGCGAATTAACGTACCTTGAATGGTTATGTATCTTGTGCAGTGGGCGTGGTTTAAACTGAAGCGGTGTCACACTTATGAACCGGATACTGCATTTACTGTGTCGACTCTGCGGGCGCACGCATTTAACTTCAACACAGAGAGCCTCGGTTTCGATGCGGATATGCGCAGATGGAGCTAATGTGAAATCCCCTTATGAGAAGTAGTTACAGTTTTGCACTGGAAAACCCCAGAGGAATATTCTGGGTAAAACCCATGGAATCAGGTGGGGACTGAAAACCCAATCCACATGCGGTCCGAGCCAGGAATCGAACCTGGCACCACAGAGGTGGAAGGCAAGCAAAGGACCACTGTACCAACCCTGAATCCCCCAAACATTTTACACTGCAAACTGTGACTGCACTGTTCTGTTTTTAATGAAGAGCTGCGACTGTACCTACCATGCATCATGGGCATTGTGAGATGGGCAAGTAGTAAACACCTGATGCAACTATGTTAGAAGCAGTAATTTTTTACTTTCTGTTGGTTTCAATTTCAAAAATCAGCATCAGTGTGGATCTTCTGTAGCCCCATAACTTTCGGCTTGATTTTTTGCAGCTGTTCTAGCCAAGCAAGAATCAGTTCCCAACACAAGACAGCTAAAGGTGAGGAGTTTCATTCTCCCAGAGCAACAACCTACATGTACATGTACTTACTCAAGCAGTGCACTTTTTGTGTTGCAAAGAATATCCCAAAGTGGCATGAATTCACCTGATTCTTCAATTGCAACAGCTGACGCAGTTCTCAGGGACCAATAGGATTTCAAGAGTTGCTGTTAAACCTTGAAAGGATTTTGACCCCTCATCACTCATCTCCTTTTCACTAATTTACGATGTTGAATTACTGTATTTTTTTCTCCCAGGAAGCCCTCTTTGATCATGAAGTGAAGCAAGATGTTCTTGCAGAGAGAAGGAACCAGCTCAGATGGTAAGTTTTCTACAGCCTCACATCTCACTCTCCCATGCACAACCTTTGTTGGTTCTTCATGAATGCTACAGTGGACCAGATACCACAAAATGAGTTTTATGTTTGGATGCATCACTCAGTGAGGCATCTTGATGAAATGGACCTTTAAAGTGGGTGCAAAATGTTTAGGGTTCCCTGTTAATTTTTTTATGTACTAGATTGTTTTCAAAAGCTGTCAATTCAAAAGTAGCTGTTGTTTCTTGTGACTAATTTTGTTGAGTTAGATCACCTGTGCATCCCATGACCTTATTGCTTACCAGCAGTGCATACATCTCCTCTGTATAAAATGTTTGATCTACACTGAATGACTTGAAATCCTGAGGCTGTAGATCTTCTCTGGCCATCTTTTACAGGCAAGTTCATCTAGGCAGAGATCAAATTACTGCAATAGCAAGAGAGGAGATCTTACAGAGCAGAAGGGAAGCAGTCAAGGAATACCATGTAAGTTGTGCTGTTTATTCCAGCTGCTTTGGTGCTGTTGCTAGCTGAATGTTCAAGATTTGTCCAGTGTGTTACGAATCAATGACAAAATTTGAAGTGAAATTCAACAAATGGGAGACGCTTTTGTGATCTCTTGTCCCCCCAAATTTTATTAGATTCGGTTCTGTTGTTCAACCTTCACCCAGGTATTGGAAATGGTATTGTCTATTACCTGCTGCTTTACACGGTTCAATTTTTACCAAATTTTCTTCTATTGGAATACATAGAATTGCCCGTTTCAAATTTGTATGACCACATTGTGGTGCACAAGAAACTGCTTATTATGTTTGAGTGCAGAAGTTGTGCATGTAAATAACTTTTGGAAAATGTTTATACTTTGCCCTATGTTACCTAACAGTTGCTGGATTATTTCCCCCAAAATGATTTTCCCCCAATATTGTCACAGTTTCAAAGAGGAGACCCATTGCCTGACATTGAGTTCAAGCGATCCTGCACCGGCTGCACCCAGCGGCGCACCCACCGGACGGTGGAGTCCATCCCCCCGCCTGTAGCTACCTTTGACCCCTACAGCAATGACCCCTGGGCCATGAAGCACCGGGCCCTGGGTCACTTCCAGCAGGCAGCCATGAGGATCATTGTCCAGCTGAGAGTGGAGGGCAAGCGGAAGATGATTCGCAAGCTGATTGAGGATTACAGGACTGGGAAGGCTGGACGGGAGCCATCAGGTGAGAATATTGGCTCCAGAAATGTGTTACTGTGGTTCTAGTACCTGGTTGTATGATTTTATAAATTGTGACCTATTGTTGGCTGAGGAATTTTGGAGATAATTTTACAGGGTGTTTGTCAGTGTGAAACCACGTTGTAGTTTGATGTTGGTATCTGGTTTTGTGTCCAAATTTGACCTGATGCGATGAAGTCAATTGGAAATCACCAGAGCCACTGCTGAGTTGAAAGAGACTTGCACAATATCAATCAAGGGGACGTCTCAGTATTTTCACCTTTGTAGAGTTCATTTTCTACGGCGATGGCAAAATGTGTGATGCCTCTAAACAAAGTCCCTAGTTTGCTGTTCAAATTACATTAAAAGTATTTGGAAAAAAGACTTATTTTGTGGGATCCTGTCACAAAGTTATTCTCAATTCAGAACTACTTTTAGTTTCCCCGAGTAAGAGTTTCATTGTGTAAAATTGAAGAGTTGGTTCTAGATCTACTTTGTGACAATTTTGGGAATGTGTTTTTTTACTAAATACTTTTTACAGTGGCATTCCTATGCATTTGCGTTGCTGTTTCACCTTACTGTCTCTTAATTCTGTTTTTAAATTTAGTTGTGTACTCAGCTGTATATTATGTCCTCAGACTGCATGAAAGTTTTTGATATTGATTGTTTGCCTCTGTCATTTTTTTTGAAGTGTTCACATTTCCCAAGGGCATTGATAACAAAGGAACATTTGAATTAGAATTCCTGACGATTTCTCAACCCTGCTTACCAGTTTTAACACCCTGTTTAGGTTTACGTCACTCCTATATGTAGAAAACATAAGGTCTTGTAGTATTATCTCAGCACTATTTTCATTTCTATAGCCACCTATGGTGAAGACCAAGATAGCCAGATTAAGGACGTCCCCCTGGATATAGATGCCGAGAAGGTCAAACCATTTGCATTCCCTACATACATAGCACCAGACTTCAAGGATGACATGGTACTGTTTCCTTGGCTTCTCATTGTCCTTAATCCACTTTTCAAGTTAGTTTATTTATTACAATGTCAGATGTTTGGTTATCATAAGAATGAATAAGTTTATTGACAATAAAAGAGTCACAAAATATTCAAAGGCTGAATTATATTTGTGAATCACCTTGACTTTTCAGGAATATCATACAAATTTATACTATAATTAAGACCTAAACTGTATTTGCATGTATTTATCAACCATAAAATATTTCTAAAAGAAGTAAAATCACACCAACTGGTCATTTTTTCCCATTATAATTCATCCTCAACAACTTGTGCTAATTTCACGAAAACATTCATGTGAGCTCATTACTCCTGTTAGAAAGAACTCCATATACACACAATTCAGATTTTTTCGAGCCATTTGGAAATGTTGTTGAGTCAGGACGAGAAGAAATTGGGTTGAGCCAAATTGGATTGCCCATACGTTCCCTTATAACCTCTTGTCAATTATTTGTTGAGTCACCCTTGGTTCATTCTGTTGAATGATCCCTTCTAACAGGCCCCTGATGCTCTGGGCATTGTACCTGCCAAGTCCACAGAAGTTTTTGTCAAGAGACAAGTGCCTTTCTTCAACCTGAAGGTAAGACATTGAAATCACTGGACCATTCTGACTGCTGAAGGGATGATGAAAGAAGAAAGTACAGTGATCTGTAAGTAGCAGGTCACAATGAGGACATGTTACACACTCACTGACCTTCATGCGATCAGAGTTGTATAGGTGTCAGACCGAGTATATGTACATGTAATAAACAGGGGTGGACTGCCCCAATTTCACGTTGAATTTGTGGCAACCAAGGGAAAGCTTGAGAGAATAAAATGCAACTCCAACATTACAGTAGACATCAGGTATTGTGTTCTCGACAAAATCAGTAGCCTGCACTAGCAGTCGTAACTCTGGTGACACCATGCTGGCATATAAGTGATGTGTTAGGGTGTTTTGACTTGTCGAGGAGCATGTGTGCTCAAGTTGAAGATGGCATGGGTGAGTAGGGTGCCACTGCAGTATCTGTCGTATCCCCATAGCTTGCAGCTTGGTCATATCAGCAATGAACAGGATGGCATTGGGGCATTGGATGCGGTTTCTCTGTAATATGCACAATTGAATTCTTGATGATCCAACACCAATTGAAGAATCTGTCCCAGACTCAAATATAGCCAAACCTTTTGGGCTGCAGTGCCACCAGGATAAAAGAATTTCTTGAGCAGGACTTTGTCACGTCCATCGTAAACGCCTCATCTCTGCATGCAAATAGAACTTGCAAGCTAAACTTGTCTGTGTCCAAATAAACCACAGATACTGTCTGTTGACTATCTCCCTATAAATATACCTTGTTCAATTAGGATTGCCCCCTTTATATGCCCCCCTTGATATACCCCCCTTTATATGCCCCCCTTTATTTGCCCCCTTTATTTGCAGCCATGGTTGCTTTCATGAGTTACATTTTGTTATTTTGCAGGTACCGCAGCAATACAGACTGATGGGCTATGGCCCGCATAATGTCCAGGATGCATCCAGTGGTTACGTACCTCCGAAGCTCATCAGACCGCTCCGAACTGGAGCAGAGGTAAGACACATTCATCCTCAAGAGAAGAAGAGTTTTAGAATCATGTTTTGATTAGAGTATTGTTTCACTGTTTTTACAAAAATGATCATTTTGGGGAGTGCCAAAAAAACAGGCTCAACACCGTAAATATTTGGCTGTCAAATTATAGGGCTGAGTCAGTTTGAATAATTCACTATTGGAATATTCGACCTTCAGTTCGGTCAAATATCCGAATATTCAGTCGTACTGACCAGCAGGTTGTTGAGGAACAAACCACATACAAATTCAGTTGCAATAATGGACACAGTTGTACATTATAATCAGTATAATAGCTTCTCACGTCTATGAGTATCTTCAGCAACGATTTAGCAAGATTTAAGAGACGAACAATAATTCTTTTCCTGTTTAAAATGTGTATTTCTTTTAAATTTTTTAATGAATAATGTACTTTTCAAATCGTTGTAAGGTTTTTGTTGCTTTTCATTGAAATTTACTTGGAACAAGCCTCGATAGTGCAGTTTTTCGCATCTAAAACAAAAAAAAATTCTCCCTTTTCATCTGTTTTGCATTCGAATATTCAAATTCGAAAGATAATATTCGAATATTCGATGATATTCGGTTATTTGCATATTCGGCACAGCCTTATCAAATTAGTTACAAATGATGACACAGTTTTCCTTGGACTGTTTGAGACGTAATAAACTCAACTCATAAATAACTTTGAATTGTGGCGTTCCAAGTAGTTTTGCTTAGTAGCATCAAGCTGAGTAGCTCGGTATTTGTGACTCTGTGGCTGATCACTAGTAATGCTGATGTGACCTGTTTAGAATTTCTGTTGACATGATGGCTGCAGAAACCCTTTCCAGGAAAGCTAGGATATAGCATTTGCATTACAGCATTTCTCTCTGCTGCGTTTGGTCTAGCGTTGCTCTGAGAAGTTCTTGACTGGCTTTGATGCCAGCCTCCTGAAACACTGTGCCCTCTGACAGCACCGATTTCTGCATGCGAGAAAATGCACTTTGACAAGTGTTAACACTAGAGTATGTCTTTATCCCTCAGGATTATGATTGACCACAAGAGAATTCTGGAAAACCCTTGGCTTTTCTGTTTCATGACGTAGTCCCCTCTTGTTGTCTGTCACAGTCCCTTGAGGTATCAAGTCCTGCATAACTTTCCTTAGCCACAGGGATGAGAGTTGTCCAGATTTTTCTCTGATTTCAGGTTTTTTCATCATGATTTTCCTGATTTCAGGATTTATACACAATTTATTTTAAAATCTGGAAAATCCTGAGTTTTCTAGGCGTAACATTTGATACAGAACACAAGCAATGGGTATTTGAAGGGACGCCTTGAAGCAAACATAGACCTCACACTGTTGTGAAGTCATAATCAAACCTTTTGGTGACTATTTCCATGGAGAGATATTTCATTTTCCTCCAATCTTACCTCTGCAGCAGTGAGTCATGATGCCTGTTATTAATGCTTTCGTCAGCAAGACAAAAATGCTTTCCTAATCAGCTTCGAAGTATGTTGCAATGGAGTAATAAATTTGAGCTACGCTCGCCAGCCTTAAAATAAATTACGTTGAGAATGGCTTGAGGAATGATGATCTGAAAGGCCGAATTACAGTGACCCAGCTAACAGCGGGACACGATGACAAGAACCGGTGAAGCGATGAGTTATAAAGACTCACTGACCTCAAAAAGCCACGAATTCCACAAGTCGTCAGTTAGAAGGACCCTCTTCATACCTATTCAGTTCTTAGCCAGTGATTGAACATCTTTGCAACTGGGATATCCTGACAATTAATAGGTGCTGGATCTACAGCTCCATGACAGATTTTCAGATTTCTTTAATCTTTTCATCCACTCTATCCTCCTGCACCTCTCTAGGATGAGATAATCCATGTTCCAGCCCCTGAGCCAGCATGGACAAAAGAGCAGGCCATTGCCGATGTAGGGATGTCCCAGGAGGAGACAATGGAGATGGCATTGAGGGACACCACCAGGACCATGGAGCTAACACCTCCATCAGCGCTGTTCAGGCCAATTGACTACCCTCCTCTGCATATATTTGTAAGTTACTTTAAAAGTATTTATGATTGACCTGTGAGTGGTTGATGAACAGAATCAGTGTATGTTAAGTTAGGGGAAAACTCTTACTTGTTAAGATAGGCGTGTGCACTGATGACCTGATGGGGTTTTTTTGCATGTGTGCCTTCCATTGGAGCTTCAAATCTCTCATCTACATCTGGATCCCATGTTATGAGAGCACATGTAAAGAAAGAGACGTCATTAGCACCTACGCATGTTGATAGACTGACTGATCCTAGATTGTTTGGATTGACAAAATTGGACACCAAGCATTACGATGTTCTGAGGCTCTTTATTTTGAATGTTGTATTGTCTTTCCAATCTGTCACACTTCTTGTTTAATTGCCATTCATAGTTCATTCCACATCTGTGTGTCTGGCATGAGATAAAATAAAACCAAATTTGAAAATTACAACAGGTGAAATACATCTGCTGCTTGTTTTGTTCACATGGTTACACTTCAAGAAGGACATGTAGAAGAACAGTCTCAGATGAGTTCACATCAAGACTTCCTTTCCATTGTTTCCATGTATTCTTTGGCTGATGGGTATTTTTGCAAGTAGCTAAGGCAGAATTTGTATCAACTTCTACCTTTTGCATATTCATTTGTGAATTAGCACTTGAATGTCTATCAGCCAGGTGATCAGTGTTTTTAATAAAGTCCTCACTCTGACGTCAGGACAAAGGTACGCAGAGCCTTATAGAATCAGTGAATCATACCTTTGACTCCTGTTGTACTTCCTCAGAACCCAGCCCCCGGCCTACAAGTCTTCATGCCCCCACTCCCCTACGCTGAAGTAGATGCTGACTTCCACCTCTGCCCTTTGCCGAGGTACACTCACAAGGATCCCAGCAATAAACACGGCACCACACTCAAGAAGTTCCTGGACAGAGAAGTAAGTCGCCCCGCGTCGACTTTATTCAAGCAATGTCCCATGTTGCATAAACAAACATGGCCGTGGCTAAGCATCTAACATCAAAGGTTAACAGTACTGCAGTTGACTAGTTGAAACCAATTTACATTGCTGTCTTTAACAACCTTGTTTCTTAAAATACACAAAGTGAACCAGTGAGTTATAAATCAATTTGCAAGCTGCCTATGTGTGGAATGTGAATTATTTACTTTCTTTTGTAAGTAAAGTAAATTATGTACTTTCAAATGATTTACTTTATTGCACATAGACAATGAGATTTGCCTATAAGATACTGTCTTGTAACCAAACAGCTGCAGTTGAAGTGCAGTCTCTGAATTGCCAATGTTCATGTGCTTTCCATGGACTGCCCAAAAAATTACTGGTTGCAGATGCCTTGAGATCCACTCTCAGAGGGTGTCAAAATGACTTGTTTGGAACTTTAAAAAAGTTAGTGCATTGTTAGCTTTCAAAACTTTTTTTTCGGTCATATGTACGGTAACTTGCAGTAACGTCTTAAAGGCAGTGGGTAATTCTCGCAGACGAACACTTAGTTTTGTCAAATCAATATTCTATTCACTCTTTTATCCTAAGCTTTGCCTTCATCATGAAGATAATCTGAATCTAAAATGTGAGCCTCTCCTCGTCTTTCTTCCACACAATAGGATGTAATACGCAGTACAATGCAGTGGAAGAAGTTCCCATCACAAGGTCTAGTGTCGCTTTCCAATACGCCAACATTGACCAACGTATGGGTGCCTAGATGGTAAGCTGAAATCTTCACCTGTTACAGATGTTGAGAAGTCAGGGCAGAATCATTTTTAACGTGTGAATAAATGTGCCTGTGTGTTAGAGTATGATTGAATGTTTGTGGATGCGATCTTGTTGTAGGACGGATCCCTTCAGCAATGACCTTCTCCCTGGCGACGTCCCTTCCTTGTTAGATGGACTTCCAGCTGAAGACAAACCCAACATTATTGACCAATCGTAAGTGCTATGCTTCAAGTGGACTGAAATTGAACAAGTTGAACTGGTCAAAGTTGCAGAATGACCAGTTGCTTGACATCCGTCTGTTGTCAGAATAAATGGACCTTTTCAGTTCAAATAGACGTATGTCAAGGACGTTGAAGTCTGATTCAGTGCCCTGTAAAGAAACTGGCCTTCAGTGGGTATGAATGATGTCCACCGGTGTCCATGGTTTTCCCGCTGCTACTGAATTGATGGTGTTTTTATGATGTGCACATTGCTCACCTGGCCTGTGCAAGCTCAGTGGTCTTCAACACCATTGTACCAGCAAACAGAAGGTTATGAATTCCAGCCCCACCTTAGGCAAGGTGTTTTGTTGTCTCAAAGCCCTGACTGCGCAGTGATGTCTAACTCTACCTATTCATTACCTTTGCTATATAACTGTTGAACCCTGAAGTATAAGATATGAACATTATCATTTGGTGTTAAGGCCTTTTGTACTGTTAGTGTTGTAGTCAAGACCAACACAAGATACGAGAGACACTGTGATCACTGACTGAGGCATACTTTTGATGCAGTTCACTGGAATAGCTTGTGACTTGACTGTTTAGACAAGAGGTCTTGTGTTGGTCTTGTGGAGTCCTGTAATAGTGACAAGGGGGCTCAACTACAACACTGCAGTCACTTAGAAAATGTAACTTACAAAATGTTGGTGGCGTAATGCTAGTTGGTGATATCATTTCAGTGATGACGAGGCTGATGCAGATGAGAAAGCTGAAGCAGTTAGTCTAACACCAGGCATGGTCAATGCAGAGTTCCCATTGATAGAACAAGCACAGGCACCAGACAGAAAAGACAGGTAGGGCATATAGAAAATAACAAAAGAGCAGTGACGTTTTTTAGTCTGTGGTCGTTGGGGCACTGAATAACTGTTCTATACTTGCTGCAGCTACTGAAGCATCATGCATTCATGTCAACCATTCTAATGATGACAGTTTTTTGCAATCTTTTGTGGGAGTTCTGGAAGGTAATAAACTCTTCAGGTTTCCCAGCAACTCAACACATTGGATATAAATATTATCAATTCCAAGAACTTCTGCCATCTGGCAGTTTTGTATCCTCCGTGCTGATTGATGGATCTTGTAGTTGCAGTGGTGAAATATTGAACAGTTGTTAGGGTCCGTGAGGTGGAGCAAAGTGGAGGGGAGGCATGGAACCTGGGGCAAGGCTGAAGATGCCACATGTCCTTGCATCTTGGAGGGGTTAATAAGCACAAGCAGATCTCACATGTCAGTCAAGGACTATTCTCTGATATTGTTCAAATCAGTCAGAAAGTGAGAGCTCTACGCAAGTGCTAGAAAATGATCTTAACCTTTGATTATATGCCCTAATAGACATTAGTCATTGAAGAAATGCTTGTAACCACCAACATAATATTATGGCTTTTGTGCAAGGCTAAAATAGAGAGACACAAGCGATGCCACAATTTTATTAATTTATTAATAAAACTGATGAATTGAAACATAACAGTTCCTCTGTGGTACATACATGCACCGCAGGGATTGGATAGTATTTGTATACATTTATCGCTGTATCCATGCCGTGTAGGAACAACAGATGGTATGCTTTTATACAGAAATAACAGTCCTTTGATGGGAATTCATGCAGAAGCACATAGCCTGTGTAGGGCGGCACATGATGTGAATGCCGAGCACAAAGCCATTATGGTGTGGGGTCCGGGGCCCGCTGAAGGGAAATTTTGGATTCCAGATGCTCTGTGGTGCAACCTGAGGTATTTCCTGGGCACTTTCTTTTGACTCCTTGAATCAGATCTGCTCATGTTGAAATGAAGGCAAGATTGTTATCGGGAGGTCATCAGAAGTTGATTTTTTTTCTGGGGTATCTTCTTTTCTTACTGATCGGAATTTGCCATCGAACGAATGGTTCACAAGTACATGTACTTAAGTGGGCGCAACGCGAGTGGATGATGCACAGTCATTTCCCTTATTCCGGATCTCAAAAATAACTCCATGGTCAGATTCCAGCGACAAAATCCTGAATTCCAGTGAAATATCATCAGTCGTCCACCTCGTGTCTTGGAAAAAACTACAGAATTAATTTCAAAATCTAAGTTTTTATCTGGACTTACGGGAGCGTCAGAAGTAACAACATTTCTAGTTCTGAGTCGGCATAACCGTTTCTGAATAGCAACAATATTTTTCTTGTAAAAAAGTCAGCCTGAGCCATTGTGGCAAGCTGATTTTGTAACTGAGAATTTCTTGATTTAAAAAAAAATCAGTTCATAAATAATAATTTACGAACGGTGCGAAGTGCTTTTCTGTTGTGCTGAATAATGATCTTAAAACTCATCATGTTTGTTCCATAAAGTGTGGTAGACTTCTGTGCATAAACTGTGAAGATGATGGAGAATAGGGAAAATCCAATAGAAAAAATAGCAGGGTGGTGAGAATTTTGGTCGGGTGGCAAAACTTCAGCGGTGCAGTCTAAACTTTTGGCAGAGCGGCTTGCCCTGCTAAAACCCCTCGCGGAGAATACTGCTCCATGCATTCATAAGCCTGGTTGGAAACCTACCCACCAGTTTGTCTTTTCTGTGCTGATGAGGGAGTTCTTCAATTCCGGGGCAGATACTCTGCAAAATTTGTAACAAGTACCACTACCACTGTGGTACAGAGGAAAGATGACTCAATTTTAGGCACCAACTCCCTGTAATTACCTGAGCATCCTTTCAGAAACGTTTGCACATGCCATTGAAGTCACTACCATATTTTCTGCTCTGTATTTCAGTGATGAGTTTCCACATGGCAGCAAGCTTCCAACCCACAACAACCCAGTCAGTAGTACAGGACCTGTGCCAAGGTAGGTGGAATTGCATCACATATAATACATGACAACCTGCAGAAGGAATTCCCAACAAGTTTTTACATTTTTTTTTAGAATAAGATGTCAATGCACTTCAGTCTCCATCGTTTTGGCTACATTTGTGTTCATGATATTCTNGTACGGTACAAACCTGCCAAAACCTCACAAAACCTGCTGTTGGAGTATGGCAGGTTTTGGGCAGTTAGGGTTAATCTGGACTTTCAGGATCGTCAGAAGTGACAACATTTCTAGTTCTGAGTCAGCTTAACCGTTTCTGAATAGCAACAATATTTTTCTTGTAAAAAAGTCAGCCTGAGCCATTGTGGCAAGCTGATTTTCTAACTAAGAATTTCTTGATTTCGAAAGAAATTAGTTCATAAATAATAATTTCAGTGAATTAACAAGTGGAAGTTGTGTAAGTTTGACTCTAGTTTTTCAGCTGTACTGCCAGCAATCAGCAACTATCGCCCGCGCTGCACAGTTGAACAACCCATTACGTCACATACATTTCTGTTATGCCCTTGTAGTTGGAGTTCACAACGTTCTGTACGTGCGTGCACTTACGCCAAAATCCACAGCCAGGAAAAGTATGCATTTAGTTTTTGACCAGTTTACAAAAAAAGGAAACTCCAAAAGTCATTTTGATTAAACATTCATTAGATGCAAACGTTTATAAGACTGTTGAGAAACAGGTATTTGGAATCGCACGTACAGAATGACCTATCACCCCGTTATTTTTGGTCGATTTTTGACAAACTGTTAAAAAATGTCGAAGTTTGAAACAGAAATCTAGCTGGCAAAAAATTTCTTTTCTGGATGTTTTCTGAAACAAAAATATTGTGTAAGAAGCTTACATTTCACCTGAATTTGTTTGATAATGCAGAACACATAAGAAGTAGTTTTAGAAGCAGACAAAAAGAAGTTTAATTTCAAGCGATTCCCTGGATCTTGGAAAGATCCGGAACTACATGTAGGAAATTAATTGTATTTTCCTGAGGAAAAAACAATGCATTCTAGGTATTGATTCCTGACACTACAAAATGAAAATGCTATGACCGGGAGAGATCGGAACCACTCCAATTTTGTACTTTCGTACTATGTCTGGCCTTGATCACTAATGGTGCGAAATGCTTGTCTGTTGTGCTGTTGTGCTGAATAATGATATTAAAACTCATCATGTTTGTTCCATAAAGTGTGGTAGACTTCTGTGCATAAACTGTGAAGATGATGGAGAATAGGGAAAATCCAATAGAAAAAAATACCAGGTAGTGAGAATTTTGGTCGGGCGGCAAAACTTCAGCGGGGCAGTCTAAACTTTTGGCAGAGCGGCTTGCCCTGCTAAAACCCCTCGCGGAGAATACTGCTCCATGCATTCATAAGCCTGGTTGGAAACCTACCCACCAGTTTGTCTCTTCTGTGCTGATGAGGGAGTCCTTCAATTCCGGGGCAGATACTCTGCAAAATTTGTAACAAGTACCACTACCACTGTGGTACAGAGGAAAGACGACTCAATTTTATGCACCAACTCCCTGTAAATTACATGAGCATCCTTTCAGAAACGTTTGCACGTGCTATTGAAGTCACGCCATATTTTCTGCTCTGTATTTCAGTGATGAGTTTCCACATGGCAGCAAGCTTCCAACCCACAACAACCCAGTCAGTAGTACAGGACCTGTGCCAAGGTAGGTGGAATTGCATCACATATAATACATGAAACCTGCAGAGGAAATTCCCAAACAAGTTTTTTTCATGTTTTTTTTAGAACAAGATGTCAATGCACTTCAGTCTCCATCGTTTTGGCTACATTTGTGTTCATGATATTTTNCAAACTTTTTCAGTTTTATTTTAAAAATGTTCAGGAATTTTCAGTTTAATTGAAATTGTTCACTCAGAGAGGGACAATATCCAAGCTTTGCTATTTAACACATGCTACCAAGCACTCGTCACTTATGCTTTTTGGGTTAAATTTGGCTTTTTGCCCTGCCCGATGTATATATTTTTAACACTGTATACTCAGTGTATGCCCCCAAAGGCTTGTGAAAAAACCACAAGCATACTCGGGAGGGACTCGAACCCACAACCTCCTGCTTACTAGTGCAGACATCTTAACCACTTGACCACCAAGCTTGCCGGTGTCGGCTAGCTGGTTCGAATCAGATGTAGCAGCGGGTACCGTGAACAACTATTTCAAAGATGGATGTGCGCCGTGGAGATGGAATTAATTTTGGATTTTTGCCCTGCCTGACGTGTATCTTTTAACACTGTATACTCGGTGTATACCTCCGAAGGCTTGTTTAAAAACCCACAAGCGTACTCCAGTGTGACTTGAACCCACGACCTCCTGCTTACTAGTGCAGTCGTTTCAACCACTCGACCACCAAGCTTGCCGGTGTTGACTGGCTGGTTGGAATTAGATGTAGCAGCGAACAACTATTTCAAAGATGAATGAGTGCTGGGAAGATGGAATTAATGTTGGATTTTTGCCCTGCCTGACGTGTATATTTTTCAAGTCAAGTCCCACCCGAGTACGCTTGTGTTTTTTTTTCACAAGCCTTCGGGGGCATACACTGAGTATACAGTGTTAAAAAATATACACATCGGGCAGGGCAAAAATCCAAAATTAATTCCATCTCCCTGGCGCAAATATTTTTGGGTTGGACTTTTGATACACAAAAAGCACTCTTGTCAGTGGGAACTGTTCTTTTTGTCAAAATTTTACAGTGAAATGCAAGTCTGTAATATTTAAGTTCATTTTGATAAGTCCAAGCATAGAAAAGACTCAGTTACAATATCAGGTGTATAATGTTGCAAAGAAAATGGCTACAATAATTGCATTTGAAATCATAGAAACAGTTTGAGTATCCTGCCTGTGTTAATTATAAATGTCATTTTCTTGTAAAAACAAAAGCCAACAATTGAAATACTAGATTTTTCCTGCTACGGCACCATTGTGTGAGGATTAGTGCATACCACACATACAGTCTGTTCACCATGCAGCTGCTGGTTCAGTGGGGCCTTCTGCTGGACAAAGCCCTCCATTCAGGGCATACCACAGCATAGCAGTCGCGGTCAAAATAATCCTGCTGTGAAGGGGTTAAGTTGTCTGTTTTATAGAGGTGGGAATTGGTCATTTTAAGACACCTTTCTGTTTGGCTACAGCATGGTGTTTTGTAGTTGAATCTTTTGTTATCTTTTGATGACTAGAATTAGCTTAGTCAATCCAGTTTGAGAAATTTTGTCATTTAAAAGATTCATTTTCATAGACAAAAATCTCAAACTAGCAGTTCGTAATCCCTTGTTCTGAGTGGCGAATTTTAGCACTTTAGAATACAGAAAAAATTCAATGTGCAATGTCTAGAGTACCCGGACTAAATCACAGGGAAAGTCTACATGACTTTGAAGCCACTACCAAATGATATTCACTGTGTGTTCATTCCAACAGAGAGAAACGGGAGGCAGAGTTGGAGGTGTTTCTAAAGAAACGCTACAACCGACTAGGTGACAAGGTAGAATCCAGAGTAACTCACATGAACAACTTGGCTACTCAGCCAGATCTGGTACTCAAGTGAGCTACCCTCGTCTCCGTGCTTTTGGACCATTTTCAGTATCAAGTGAAGCTTCTTTTCTTACTATTTTCTACTTCTCTTTATATTGACGTTAGCTTAAATCCACCCCTCCCCTCTCCCCCCACAGTATTTTGGCTAGCGATCCTGCTGTTGCTTCTTGCAGCAGCTGTTAAAGTGAGAAGTTAAAGTTGTTTAGTGTCAAGTGTGCTAAGGTCAAATAGCCCCAGTGTGCCAGTCTGACAGCCTTGTATACCGTAGCATCCAACACTGACACTATTCAGTGAGGACTCTCATTGTCTGTGGTGAGCAATCTACTTGGTTTCCAATGATGGCAAGAGAGTACTGTGTCAGGTTTATCTAGACAGGTCCCTCTCTTTATGTAGCATGTGTAGACTGTTACTGAGGAACTGGGAATCTCTCTACCGGTAGTTGTATTTGCTGTCAAATTGACCGTCCCTAGTATTCATAGCTTTCTATTTAACTGGGCAAGCATGTCGTGAAGCAGCTTAAGTATACATTGTAGGATGCCCTCTCTTAATCTTTGTACAGAGCCTGTTATCTATCCATCATATTCAAGCTGTGGCTCGGATTATACGGTGCTGCTAAGCAGGTCTTATCTACCATTGAAATCTCTATTCATGTCACAGAGATCAAAAGCAGTTAGAATACAGTACCTGACTTCAGAGGTCAACTTGACTGGAGCTATTGACGCAGCAATGTGAATTTCCATGTGCTGGCAGCTGTTGACATGTAGGCAGTTTGCGATTGTGTGTAACATTAGCTTAACTAGTGTTTCTGCTGAGGATGAAGCAATGCCTTGTATTGGCCCGAGTACCAAAGCCAGATTGTATCTTCATATTCCCAACGCTTTTAGTGGGCTCTTTCTCCTATGCTGTTCATGTTTTGTGCCGGGGAGTGAAGCTCTCAAATATCAGTGTTGACAGTATTAATAACGTGATAGGAGCATACCTGCATGAAAAAGCTGCAGTTATTGTCCGCCGCTTTCTCATTGAAGAAGTGGAATATGTAAAAGGCGTTCAATCCCCCTCCCATCTGAACAGAATTGGTCACCAGAAATGAATGCTGAAATGAGAAACTCTAAGAACCTATAGAATTGAGGGAAATGATTGTAATTTACTGTCTTCAGTTTTAAACGCTGCCCCGAGACTTGCTTCCTAAGAATGCATGTAAATTTTTGTGAAGTTGACAAAAAAGGAGTTTTTACTTACTAAAAAAGTATAGATTTATAATGTACAAAATATCGAGACTATTTAACAGCTTTATGTAAAATGTATTTAAAAAAATGTGTGTACATAATTGAAGTGTTACTTGTATAGTGTTCCAATTTAGAGTTTGTGCATTCAATCACTTACCAATATTTTGTGCATTTTCTTTCAAATTGCCACCAACTTTAATCAAAAAAAGACAAGGGAAGACAGTATTGTAGTTGGTACATGACATCAGTATGACTACACTGAAAGTTGTGCTTTTAAATAAACCCTAAAGAGGAAACGTTTTCTGTGAATTCACATTTTAAGGATTTTATTTTTGTTTAAAACAGAGAGTAATGAGGATATTGTCAACTTTTGAGTGAATTTGAGTAAAGGGTACAGATCTGAACTACACAAACATTTACAGTGTACACGAGTAACTATTTATGCATGACCACATGGGGAGTAAACACCCTCAATATATATACATGTATATAGCTCTCTTGTACACTGTCATGCAACCCATTTTGCCTTGTCACTTCTTTAACCTTTTACCTTGACAGGCTACAGTGTACATGTACATCCGAAGCTGTTTCTGATACTAATTCCCAGGTCTCGCAATTGAGCTTTCATCGTATAAAGTTAAACATGATACAAAATGTTACTGTGGGGCCATGGCATTGCCTGTGCGCACTTAGGCGCATCGCGACACCCTGTTCATTGAAGAGGAATGTAACGTGTGTACCAACTGTGAACATGTCATAGTTTCCGATCCTTATTGGCAGATGTCTTTAGAGATGTTTAATGGCGGATGGTGGTGCATTTGACATCACATGATGATTGAAATCTGCACAGCAACTGTAAATGGAGTGAAATCAAGACATTTTATCCTGTTCAGTCAGAAAGGATACAGAGCATATAATATCTATGATTTCATGCAAGACATAACCACAAGCTGATTCATACAACTGGTTTTGGGGGAGTTTGAGTAATGGTAAAAATGCATTGACAATCGCAGATATACTGCTTGCAGTGGACACATTAATGACTTGCATTCAGTGGACCCCCTTTATTACTTGGCTCATGTCTTGGTAGACTTTCAATCAGTCCTTATTCATGCTTTCCATTTTTATCTTTCATGGAGACATATTTCAACGTCTCTTAACATTTTCATCACTCCTTAAAATGTACTTTTGGTGAAAATACTTGGAGACCTTTTCCATTTATTATTGCTTTTCAGTTTTGTGATTTGTCTTCAGCCAAGCTTATGTAGATGTATATGGATTATTTCCTCTGCAGTAATACAATTCTAAGACAATACTTCTAAGAAGGTCTGACTTGTATGTTCTGCTGATGATTAAAAGTTCTCATTGGTTCTTTTTGAATTTGAAAATTGACTTTCTTTGAAGGCGTATCTTTTCTGAGTTTGTCCTTAAACAAATTTCCGTTTTCAACAGAATGAAAACCGTACAGAAATATAAAACCAACCAATCTCTAAGCACTTATACTTCAACCATTTACACAACTGTCCTAGCCTGTGAAACCATCATACAGCTCTGGGGCTTTCAAACCTGCCAAAGGCCAGTGCATACCTTCAAATACCTGTGGAATATTGCTCCTAAATACAGAAAGTGTGTTCCACAACCTGAAAGGTAAGCAACTGACAAAATCATTGTTGGGAAAACAATCGTGGCTCAAAGAAAATTTTGAGACTAGTCTCCCTGTGAAATTACCCCTATAGGAAAGCTTTCATTTACAAGAAAGTAGTGAAAGGCCAATTCCAATGTCTGTAAAGATGCACTTTTGGAAATTACGCTTAGCAGTTTGGGAAAGAGTATTGCATCCCGACTCCACTTCAGCAGTTGTGTACAAAATTGGAAACTGTTCTCAGTTCCAGATTCATGTCTTTTCAGCAATTTCTTCAATGACTGAGTTTTACTGACATGATAATATGCAGAGGGTGCATGCAGGATGAAACGTTCTTACTGTAGTTTCGTGTTTAATTCACCAAGCCATGCGCAAGCATCACCATGCTTTGCTCACGTGTGTACGGACTTACTTTATGCAAATCATTGGTTCAATGTGTGACATTGTGTAGTGGCATTTGGTCCAAGACACAGAATTTGGGTGCAAATGGACTGTACTTTTAATGAATAAGTAACAACACTGAAAACTACCAGCCAATGCTTCTGGGGAGATTGAGAAAATTTGGCTCCCAAGTGCTGATGTCCTGTCCAAGCTGTACACTTTCCAGGAAGCTAAGATGGACTAGCAATGTTTACGGCCTGGTGAGCAGAGATTGTGAGATACACAGCACACATAACACAAGTGCTGGTGGATATGTGTGGAGTGCTCTCGATAAATTACTGTTATTTATAAAAAAGAAGAACATATTTTGTACAAATGCCAGCACCAGAGCCCACATGTATATCTTATTTCAGTAGGTCTACTGATCCAACAGTTCTTTCTAACTGATGCACAATTTAAAACCACACAATACTTCATTTACACTTTCTACAATTTTTTTTTACACAATTTATGAAAACTTAGTTATCATCAAGAGAGTTTCCCTACTGGAATTCACAACATTTTTGCTAGTACAGTTGAAAGGAAACTTATTTTCTATGAGTCACCATCTTTTGAAATGAAAAGTTCCAACAGTTTGCATTTTATTTGTATTTATTTAATGCAATGTAAACTTTGCTGCGTTCCTTCTTTAGACATACTGTATTCAGCCAAACAGTTTTTTTGCAAAGGCACATTTTAAAAATATGAAAGAAGAATCGTCTATAGTGAGTAGTCTATGAAATTAACAACCAAAATCCATAAATGCACATATTCACCAACTTCTGCACAATTATACATGGAGTGTTGCAGTCATCACAATTTATAAAATAAGTCATGAAGTCAAGTCTAGGAACCACTTGCTGAAATGACTGTTAGTGACATTCCTTTATCATTTGTCATCCACTGATTGACTTTTGGTCTTTAACGTGACAGAATTGTGATGGTCTCGATTACAACTCAGCTATGCAATTGTGTCTATCCAGTCAACCTCAGACATCCGAACTTGGCCCAATTCCATGTAGTTGTGTATGTGTAGCATTCAGCTACGGAAGTTCAGCAAATCTACGTGCAAAGCAAAATTCAGCTGGGAACCAATTGGAGACTGCACGTCACAGCAAACATTTTTTGTGCATGGCAGATTTTGGGTGTGAGATTCTCTGTAAAGTCAGCCCTGAAATCTACAGAACATACCCAGGCTCAACACCCTTCTTTACTGGTAATCAATGGCGTTGTTTGTATTTGTAGTTAAAGGTTGGCTATTGACTTTTCAGTTACAAATATCATGACACTGTGCACGATATGGGCCGATGGGTACCCCCCCACATGTCCAATCCCTGAACACACTCTAGACTATTGCTACCTGACACATCCCCCCTTGAAGTCTGTCAGGAATTCCTGAGATTCCAATCAACAATGACCAACACAAAGGCGGGGGGGTTCTCTCCGCCCCATATCTTGCATCATATGAAACTCATTCAACTTGCTGCAGGGGAGCACGGTTTCGGAGACGTTGGCTTAATATGCACAGACGGGGTGCCCGAAATTGGACAAAAGGAACTGGGCCATGTAACAAAAGACTGTACTTGGAACAAAAGACCGAGCTGCTGGGAATGTCCAACATTTTTTCAGTTGTCAATAACGGAGGAAATCCGTCATTGATTTGAAAGATTATACCACTGTTTGTGGCATTCAGCGCCAGCGGATTACGACTGGGGACAAAAGTGCTTAAGTGATACAATACGGCTGCATGGTAATCTGGCCCTTATTGAAAATGGCACTGTGCCAGTTTGGGGAACAAAAGAAAATTACATAACACTGCACAATCTGGGCTCTTTTTACAAGGCGGCAGGCCTAGCTGAAATACCCGGCAGAGGAGGCAAGAACATAATGCACACGCATGCCTTCACCCTGGCTATAATTTACTTAGAATGACAGCTTTGCTATTGCAAACTATTTAATATGTACACCAAAAAAGAGCTAAACCTCTTGTAAAAGGGTGTTAGCTAATCAAATTTGTGACTTTCCTCCGTCCTGCTGAGGGGCTGTTGGCTATTCCAATCTATGACTTTCCTCCCTCAGCAGCCTGTAAAGCAAACATACAAAAACAAAATGACGAACACAGACCATGTCACTTTCTATTGGGTATCTTTATGCAACCATGAAAATTTATTGCTCTGCGACCGCACAGTACCCACTGACAGAAACAAAAGGGCACTTTCATCAATTCCTTTCAAAAAGATTGGAAAATTTGAAATATGGAATTCATTTGTAAAAATATTTGTGATTTTGTGACATATGATTTGAAAAATACAACAATCCTTATTTAATGCATACTTCAGTCTGTTTCAACCCTAACATGCCCACATCTTTTCAAATCCATCAAGAGATTTGAAGAATGTTGAAGGATTGTGGAATTCATATCCCACACACTCCTGCTTATTTAAACATGGGACTTGGTGCCCCTTAAAAGTTACAGAACAATGAACAGTTTCCAACATTAGCGGTGATCGGTTTAAAAAAAAAAAATTCTTGTTGCTACAATACCAGTGTGGTTATGCCTCATTTTCACTTGTATCCATGGCTTTTAAATCTGATGACTGGCACCAATGTACAAGATAGCCATTTGTGAAATTTTGATTTCATTAGACAAGGATTTCTTTTTGCGGTCATTTAGCTCAGGAATGTCGTCCACATGCTTCAAACACATGTTGATAAGAAATGGCCAATTAATCTTAGAAGTTGGTGCCAAAAGACTGCAACACAACAGTGGAAAAATTCTTGAAGGCATAGCATAACAAAAGAATGTAAAGTTATGATGTTAGCCACTCCCTGCCCGGNCGGAACAAAAGACCAGGCTGCTGGAAATTACCGACATTTTTCACTCTCAAAAGGGAAGATAATCCAGCCTTATTTTGAACAGTATACCAGGGTTTGAGGCATTTAGAGCGAGCGGATTACCACCGGGGACAAAAGCACTCCACCACCACAGAGATGAGCCACACAGCACCGCTGCACGCTAATCTGGCCCCTATCAAAAAGAGGTCAGCAGTGCACTGAGCCAGGTTAGTGAAGAAAAGAAAGTTATATAACACCGCACAATCTGGGCTCTTTTTACAAGGCTGCAGGCCTGGCTGAAATACTCAGGTGTCAATAGATTTTGTCTGTCAGGCTAGAGGGGCCACCAGACAGTCCTTCAAGTGTTTGTAAGTGTCCAATCAATGAAGATAGGAATTTTTCAAAGAATTTTGAAAACAGAAAAAAATGATAAATATCCCAGCCCAGCATCATCAGCATTGATAACTGCCCCGGCAGGAAGTGGTTAACACCCCCTTCATCCCCTCACCTGTTGTGTACCCCAGGAGATGTAGTCTGGCTTGGTAGCAGCATGGTACTCATCCACCAGCTGTTGGACTACCTCTCTGGAGTTATCCAACTCATCCAGGTTGTCTTTGAAGATGGCCTGCTTGCGGAACTGTTCCAGGAAGGCCTCTCGCTTGCGCAGCTTGTCATATTGCTGGCAAGTTCTCTCAAATAACTGTGGGAAACCAGTGGCAAGTTACATGCACTTTTACAACATCAATCACGCACAAGTTTACAATACATCGGAGTGTGTCACTATGAATGTCACATTTTACAATGCTCATTGCCAGGTGATAGCCTCCATGCACAAAATTATAGCACAGCATGACCTACTCAAGAGACCTGAGAAAGGATGTGCAGTTCATGTTTTTCGACTGAATGAGCAAAAATCCGTCCATGATGAAAGGAGCTTGTGGGAAATAGCAACCTGTTCAACTGTTGCACAATGCAGTAAACGTATTACTGCCATCTCGGCAGCATCTATTCTTGCTGAGGAGAAAAATTCTACCAATATCAAACCCTCCAAACATGAAAAGACATTTCAGTATGGGCCCATGATGTAATCATGCTGAACAATTTACCTTTTGATACCAGTAATAATTTGTTGGGGGTGTCCAGTTACTAACTCAAC